CAATCACAATAACATTAAAAAGTGATGGGGTTTATCCAAATTGTGATCATTTTGAGAAGCAATCTTTTTGTTAACTAAAAATCACAATAACATTAAAAAGGGATGGCATTTATCCAAATTGTGATCTTTTTGAGAAGCAATCTTTTTGTTAACTACGGTATAGAAAACTGTTCAAGGAGTGTGATTTTAGTCACAGCGGAACAGGAAGACATACTCTCAGTGCTCGCTGCGTATTGGTGGTCCGACATGTTTAAGCAGATAAGCGCATATGAGCACTCACCTGAAACGTGTCAGCAGGGTTAAATTCTCGCCGCAAGCGACAGAATCTTTGGCCTGACTGCTAATTCCAGGAGAGTGATGATTATCTATCAATGTCGACTTTATTTTTCGTATATTCAAATAAGAGATTCCAATACTAACCAGTACTGTAATATTTATGAATCGTGTCAGCAAGATGACTCATCTCGTTGCGGTCAACGATGTTGTAACCTGAGATTCCTGGACAAAGTGTTTTACCAACATGGGTTACCGGTAACCTTTGTACCAGATAGAGGCTCTGCAGCGATGTTTTGACGAACGTCGTTCAAGGCGCAAGAAACCAAAGTAAAGATGCCAACACGCTTACCCTCCACCATCAGATGGTCAGACAAAATGCGATTATTGCGCTGCGAAGGGAACCCCCTGGGGTACTTGCGCAGAGAGGCCGAGATACTGAGGCGAATAGCTCACGCGTTTTGCTCATGCCAGTAGCAATATTGAAATACTTTACACAAATAGCATGGTGAACTTCGGGTGTCTTTATCACCGCCACGAAGTGGCGTCCGGTTTTGTGGGGGGAAAGGCTGTCGGTCAAATCGACTTGCCAATAAAAGCCCAGCTGTACTTTGAAGAAAAAGTGATAAAATTCTGACGGAATCGAGTGTCACACGCAGCGTGAGTGGCGCTATAGCTGGCACTACATGTAGGTGTCTGCAGTCTCGGAACGAAGTTGCAACCGCGCTACATCGCGACCAACCACGGTAGTATCGAAAAAAGACCGAAATATAATTTGGACAATCCAAATAAAGTCCGAATACATCCAGTGATCTATGTGGGCCAACTAGAGTTTTATCGCGATCTACTCTAACGAGCCAGTCGTTCGTAAACATCTCTGTTGCAACCGAAGTATACCCTGTTGCTGCACTACCTTCTGCATTAAAAAGCGCCGCAATTTCTGAATCGAAGAAGGTTTTCTCATGCCATGCAGTGCAATGCCAAATCTCAGTAAGCTAATCCGAAATCTGGCTCATCACAACTTCGGAAATATGCTGTGAGTCGTTGAGAGTGCCGACGGGTCGTCACAATCGAGTGTGTACAGCCGCGGAAGGATTGACCTCTGCTGACACCGCTCGATGAGCCACTGTCATGCGGGACTAAACCCTAACGACTAATTGAAAGTGCCTTAGGAGCTAGATGACTTGTTTCTGTCGGAACTTCGTGACTTTATGGTTTCACGTGCTAAAGTAAGATCTTGTGCCAAGGCCGCTTACG